CTTTCCGCAACGATGTCTTAACGTTGTCCACGTGCCTGTGCTGAAGGGTGAAAATCAGCCTACTGTGGACGAACGTGCCGTACGCCTGCAACTTTTGCCAAGGCGCTAGTTTAGAGCGGAACAGGACTTCCGCCACCCGAACACAGTCTTGAAGCTGTTCTACTGGTGTTAGGGGGCAGTCGGTGCTAATCCTTGCTCCGAGGGAAGGCATGGCATCGATGTTAGCGAGAGCCGGAATCGAGAGGCCATGTAAGGCGAAGGGTACTCCCGGGATGGTTGGCTTCCCAGAGCAGAGCGACAGGGTTTTGCACTTCTGGGCATTGAAGTGCAGGCCCAGTTGAGTGGCGACCTCTTCGACGGCCGACAGCATCTCGGTCAGGCCTTCTGCCGAACGACTGAACAGAGCCAGGTCGTCGGCGTAGGCCAGAGTCGAGAAGCGTTGGTCATAGCACGAGAAGCCCAGGCGGTCCTCCTTATCCAGGTTGGCCCTGATCAGAGGCTCCATGAATATGCTGAAGCGGAGAGCGCTGCAGGGACCCCCCTGCTTAACTTCCGCCTTCAGCGGAATCTCACCCGTGCTTGTGCCGTCGGTGTCGACCGTAAAGGAGACATCCTCGTACATGTCTCGGAAGACGCCCTGTGCTTGCTCTGGAATGCCGGTCTCCTTCAGGATGCGCGTCAGCAACTGGTGTGAAACTGAGCCGAAGGCATCCGGAATGTCCATCCAACCGATGTGGAGGTCAGCCCTTGTGTGTTGGGCGTGCTTGAGGAGAGTCATGCAAGTGAAGATGTGCTCACTGCAGCCCTCTACTCGGTCGAAACCTTTTTGCACGTCCGCCGACACTATGGCGTTGCTCCGCGACCAGTCAGCTAGTCGATGCCGCCACATCGAGGAGTAAAGGCGCAGGAAGCAGGACTCGATGATAATGGGTCGCCACGAGTCGACGCTGGATGCGTCGCTGCTTTTGAACACGAGGAAGCATCGGTTCTGCCTCCATTGCCTAGGGAGCGACTGCAGCTGGATGCAGTGCTGGAAGAGGCGTGTCAGGATTAGGGCCCCGGGGTCGTGCTTTTTGAGCATGCCGTAGGTTACTCGGTCGGCACCCGGG